TTATCTCAATCAAATGGCATCCTATTGATTCGCTGAAGAAGGTGTCCCAATGAAAGTATATGATTATATCTGAGTTATGGCATGTGATGGATTATCGTCAATACGTGTCCTGCTTTTTTTCGGTTCTTCGAATTGTCTTCTGTTCGTTTTTCGTTTTTTTCGTTCTTACGACTTCCCCTCTCTCTCTCTAGAATTATTATTTCGATTGTTGCCCCCTTGGAATACAAAGCACCCCTATCCCCCTTCACTTCGATTCGCCACTACCGCAGGTTTGACCTACTTCAACCTATAAACGGCCCCGTTGTTACCCTCACCACTAATGGACATACCGAGTGGTTTTACCTCGCCGCGTTGGAATATCGCCTCCCGCATCTTGCTTTTTGCTCACGGTGTGCCGACGCTCTTTAGTCGGAGTAGCACGAGCATGACATGTCATGCTCGTGCGAAGCGCATGTGACACACACATGCTACACACTCAAGAGGACGTGTTTCCTCCATCGCTGCCCGGCGGTGCCCCCCCCCGACCGCATTGTGAAGCGTTTTTGTGTTCCTTATACGCCCCCGCGTGGAAATGAGGTGATGATGATGGCTATGGGGTACGCCGAGGACGTCCGACGTTGGTGGGGGGATGGCTGGATAATATCGAAAAGGGAGACGACTATGTATTGCGTGATCTATGGTGAGATATGTTGTGATTCTGGTGACAGATGGTGGGAACACGCTTTGTCGAATCTATGTTGTCCTCTCGCGTGTGGTTCTGTCTCCCCGCATGGTTTTTCCCGATATTCTCCCATGTCTGCTCTCGTTTCGTTTGCTTCCAACCACCCTTGATCACCCGATTCTCTGATCCCGCTCTTCTCCCCGACCTTCTCCCCGCCTCTCTTCCTCCTTTCGTTCTCCTTTTTTTGCATGCTCGTTTCTTTTGTTGCACGACCACAGAGGCCGCCCAGGGAATCCTTCCCGGGAGGATGGTGGAACGAGTTGACACATCGCTTTCCATGGCTTAAGGGATGTGCCTGGCCCGCAAAACCTACGCAAGCCTTGATGACTTGCGTTAGCCCTGGGGTCATGGATGCGATAAAAAGCGCTTGGGATACCGGACGCTTCCCCCGTTTTTTCGAGATGCTCTGCTTCAGTGACCTTGTTGTTCTCGCTGGGGCTTGGGATCGTAGTAAGGAGGAATTCGATGATGAGTTAAGGGTATTATGTGAACGACTTGAGTTGAGGAAGCAGGAGTATGCCAGGGAGTGTAGGGAGCTGGGGGGAAGATCCGCCAAGGTTGAATGGATCCTCCTCAGAATATGGGGAGTAGATGACTCGCACCTAGAAGGGCAGATCCCCGAAACACGGGTGGAAGCATCACCTACCACAGGGGGCAGCCGGGTCACGAAGTGCGACGATCTTGCGATCGAAGCGGAGGAGAGGGAAGAAATGGAACGAGCGATCGTCGTCATTGCGACCACCATCAGGAACTCTCCCCTCACGAACAGCCAGGCCTGTGATAGCGCCTCGGAACGGGAGCGATATACGGTGTTCGCTCCCTTGGCTTCCACATATTGGGTAGAGCACACGTCCACCGGATTCTGACATGCGATCTGGAAGATGGAGACCTTTAACCATGTCGCGCCGATCTCCATCAGAGCACTCCAATTCCTAGGGAATATCACGGATGCACAGGTGAAGGAGTGCAGGACACAAGTATTGAAGGGTAAGCTGAAATTCTCCGGGAGAGTCCCCCCGCCGGATCCCCAGGACCTTAAATTTCCACCCATGCGCGCTTTTGACCTGGACAAATGCGGGGAAACGAGTTACGGGATGTGGCAGAAAGCGATCAGACAGCAGGATAGATTGGACCTTTGGAACGTGAGAAAGATATGGAGTGTAGGCAGACCCTATCTCAAGTGCAAGTGCAAGAAGGAAAAGAACAGGGACCCCGGGGACACCCCTCTCTGGTTCGACCATGCCCTATGGTTCCTACTTGCACACCCGGATGTATTATTGTCGGACATGTCCTCGATCAAGATCAGGACTTCGATGCTGATCCACTACCTCAGAACCACATGGAGGGAGGGAATACTTGCCGCCATTGGTTTTCACTTTATTAGGGATCTGATGATGGGCTATATCAAGGAACTCGAGAAGGACGCAACTCTCGGCACAGAGGGCTTACTAAAAGATGACCGCTTATGGAACTACCCGATCCCTGCCATACTCGCACGGATTATGCTTCCCACACGAATCCCCGAGAAGCCTACGAGATTCCCACTCAGCTCTCCGCGTGCGGCGGCCCGGAAGAGAAACGCAGGTGTACAGATCCCGGGCCAGACCACACTCAACTTCCGCAGGGTGGCACCGATACCCGACGATCCCCCTCCGACTGCACCTCCTCCCCCTCCTCCCTCCTCCCTCCTCCTCCTCCTCCCCCCCTCCCCCCCTCCCCCTCCCCCTCCTCCCTCTTCGACCGCCTCTGCGCATTTGCAACCCACGATACTGGTCACCGGGCTGCAGCAGACCGGCTGCAATGATCACCTCCGTGGTGTGCATGCCGCAAACCCACTTACCACACCACTACAGGCAACTGGGAACTGGACCTTTACCTCCTCGCTCCCGCAACAACCGATGATGGTAATTAGAGGGCTGACTCCGCCACCCGGCATCCTCCTTTCGCCGGAGAACTCGGCGCAATCAACGCTTACCCAGACCGGTAAGGGCAAGAAGAAGGGCGCAAGGGGCAAGGGCAGCACAAGGACGGGCGCCACCACCAGCACGCGACCTGCACGTGCTTAACCCCCCATGGGAGGGGAATAGGAATCAGGGCTATCTCTTCCGGTACTCCCTCCCTTTTTTATTTCTTTTTCCTTTTCTTTTCCTTTTTCTTTCCTTTTCGTTTTCCTTCCTTCTCTCCTTCCCCCCTTCTTCTGATCACACTTCTTCCTCCCCGGTTATTCCCGTTGTCCAATCGTTCCTCTGAGATTCACTATCCCGTCCGACACAACCCGTGTCTTGTGATTGTGACATTCGGAGCACAGGACCCAGGCTCCAGCTTCAATGCCCCAGGACAGATGACCACGTTACCGACTGGCCGAAGATCCTGGAGAAGGCAGAAGTCGGATTGCGATGTATTCCTGCACCTAAATTACACCAGCAGGGTGATGGAGCCACTATCCATCAGGAGAATGATCAACGAGGTTCTGGCGAGGATAGTGGGAGATGGGACGGCGACATGGCTGAACACACCATGATCGGCTGGACCTATAACACCAGTATCGCATCCAGACTTTGCAGGCCTGCGGAAGTGTTTCGCGACTTTGACGTGGCACAGTGGATGGAGGCCTATGATCCGGAGCATTGTCCATGCAGATCACGCAGATACGTGGATATGCGCAACCGCGCTTCGATAGACCTGCTCCAGTGCGAGGGGCATACGCATGTGATCACTCCGGACTCGTCGATCACAGATAATCCTCTACTCCAGGGCATCATCAATTCTGGGTTGAACCACATCCCCTGCATGGCTCTGGACGTGAACGAAGCGGAGAACGAGATGGGCGGTTTCCTCGACAGGCTCATGGCGGAGGTGATGGAGCTGCGGGAACTCACAACATCCACCCAGTCATTTCTACGAAGAGTAATCCTGAGGAAAGCGAAGGCGAGGATGACCAAGTACAAGGAGCAGCACAGGCATGTAACCGCGGAGCCATTCGAACATCCGGCTCTCAAACGGGAACTGGAGTTCCTCACCGGTCGCTTTCTCATTTGTCCGACGGATAAGGCGCCAAACACTCCTGCCTTTGTATGCAAGAACTTCATTCGGAAGCTCGCTTTTCAGAGGCTGTCCGAACCTGAGTTCGCGAGCATCGCCGCCCCCCCTGCTTCGGTCATTGCGCGGATACAAGGCGAGCTTTCGGCCATGCCCGCTCTGCCAATGGCACCACCAACGCTCCCGTACCTGATGACGGTGTTCAAGGCGCATAAGGATGCGTTCCGATGGATCACAAACACGGCTGGGACGGTCGTCTCCCCGGCAGCAGACCTTTGTGCATGTCTGCTTCGGTTTCTTCTCCCCCTGGTGCAGACATTCTGTCAGGAAAGGAGCCTGGAGACGGAAGAGCGGTATGGAGTGAAGCCGAACCTATGGTGGTCGATAGCCTCAGTAGGGGAATTCTATGCGAACTTGCCAGAGAGGATCTATTTCATCTTTACATCGGACATCACCAAGTGTTTTGAGACGATCCCCACGGACAGCTCGGAGGACGGCCTACCGGCGGCGGTGAAGTTCTACGTACAGAGTGCGATGCGGGTGAAAAGGGAGAGGAGCTCGAGCCACATCATCCGGATCAGGGTGGGGGAGAGCGGCAGGTTCTGGCCCTCGTGGGTGGATGGCGATCAGATGGAAGGAATGGGTTCGATGCTGTTCAAGGAAGAGGATGTCTGCTGGCTCACTAAGTGGTGCATCGCCAACAGCGTGCTGCGCATGGGGGACTATGTATGGAGACAAGTCAAGGGTATCCCCATGGGCTTGGCCTGCTCCCCAATCTGGTGCGTTATATATATTTCTTCAAGTATGAATACCACGCCATGATGAGGTTGGCGGATACCGGAAATGCACATCTAATTTCATACTTCTCGGACACCTTCAGGTATATCGACGACTTGGGCGCGATCAACAACACCATCATTGGGAGCTTCATGCGGAGGAAGGAGGATAGGGTGGAGAATGACCCATGCTGGATCTATCCGGACGAATTCATCGAGATCAAGGAGAATACTGAGGTTGTCGTGGATGGATGTGGCCGAAGGGCCAACTTTCTCAGCGTGACCATCACGATCACCTCTCCGGAGACGGGTGCGTATGTTACCTCCAGGCATGACAAGCGCGAGGGCCTGGGGCTTGCCCCATGCAGGTTCATGAAATATAAATCCAATAGGAGCGCCAAGCAGGCGTTGCAGATCATCACTGCCCAAGTTGCGCAGATCCTGTTGCTATGTTCCGAACCAAGTGATGCAGCCATGGAGATTAACAAGGTGGTGACCGCGATGAAGGACAATGGTTTTGCGAGGGATGCCTGTTGGGGAGTGGTCAGAAGAACTCTACGTCAGAAGAACTCTACGGAACACATATCGCTACCAACCTGGCAAGGTTTCCGTGCATACGGTCAGAGAGGCGCTGGCCGACATGTATGGTTTCACTGACTAATTGTGGTTTCCGTGTGCGTGTACGTGTCTGTGTATGTGCGTATGTGTGTGAATGGTGTCTGGGGGACGACTGGGCCGGGAGGGCCGGTTGTTCTCCGGCCAACCGCCCCCTCGGACCTGCTCATCTCCCGGAGGGAACGGGGTGGGACACACACACACACACACACACACACACACACACACACACACACACACACAGGTGATGGGAAGGAAAAGGAGCGACAAGAGATGGTTGTGCGAGCTCACGGGACTKGGAGATTCTACGGGCAAACGCATGCTCTCCCCTCTCTCTCTTTCATTCCCTCTCTCTTCTCTCCCTCTCTTTTGTCCCTTCTCTCTCAGCTGTGTTTCTTTGCTTTTTTCCATTTTTTCTTCTTCTCTTCTTTTCTTTTCTTTTCTTTTCTTTTCTTTTCTTTTCTTTTCTTTTCTTTTTTTTTTTCTTTTCCTTTTCTTTTCCTCTTTTCTCTCTCTTCTCTTTTCTTTTTTCCGTTTCCCCTTCCCCCCTTGCTTTTCCTTTTTCCTTTTTCCTTTTTCCTTTTTTCGTCCTCGCTGGATCGTAGGAATAGCGGGGTGGCACAACCCCGACCGAATGAATAAAACCCCAGACGCTAGGAATCGGCCATCTGAAAGTCACGAGAGCAGCCCGCTCTCGGATCATGACGAATAAGGTCGAGGACTGGGCAGGTACGAGGACCTTTGGGAACATGGGTGGGTCATAAATCAGTTTGGCGGTCCGGTTTTGCTTTTAGCCTTTTTTCACCCCTGCTATTTTTTCCCCCTTGCTCCTGACCGTAGGATAGGCGTGCATAAATGGGTGGATAGTAGCAATAGCTTGTATCGGAAGGCTGTGGTTCTTAGGCGTGCATCGCGACTATATCAGAACAGAACGCAGGGGTTCTATTCATCGGGCCACTGTGCGAGCCAGGAACAGCTGACGAAGCGACCGTTTTTTCCGCGACTGCGAAGGGCTGAATGGTTCGGTAGACGACATAGACTTCTTCGCTGATTGGGATCTGGAGGAGGAACAGAGGGACGAGGAGGAAGTGGTAACATTGCTGGGAAACGGCACCCTCCCGATTCTGCATTCGTACCCAAGTGCCTGAACGCTTCGGATCTGGGCATCATGCATACTGCCGCTACCTGCCTTGCCGAACCTGCTCTAGCTAGCCTACCCCCTGCGTCTGCGCAATATCGGTGCGAATACCCTTACAAGGGTATCCGCCCCGGTTTTTGCAAGCAACAGGAAGTAAGTTGAATTAAAGTCTAAGTATACCACGCGAGGCGCGGCTGAGTCTGTAGTTTACGTTGATTAGATAGTTGACTAGAGTGGAGAATGCGTGGGCCCGCAATCTTTAAGGCGCGCGTGTGATCTCTTCTTTTGAATTGTTCGTAAGACCGGCGTAGCTGGCCGGCCTGGTTTTTATCTGTTGATTAAGGTGAGGACGTCAAAGTTTCCGTATCTCCACCCGACATGTTCGGCCGGCGGTAGGATTGGCATGCGGAATGGTGGCGGCCATAGTGTAGTCAGAACAAACCGGCACAAACGCATAGTGCTCGACTGCTGATGAAGGAGTGGCCTGGGCGCTTTCTTAGCCTTGAGCGCTACGCCGCACTAGTTTATATGAGATTCCGCGCATGCTGGATTCAGGCTTGGGCTTAGCCCTATAGGTTACGACATTGGACTTGTGAGAAGGAGGTGCGGGGATCAAGGCTAGCAGGCGGCAGTTTAGGAGCGAAGCAACATTGGATGAGAAGGATTGAGGGATTGAGGGTCCCGTGGGACTCTCCCGTTTAGTTTTTGTTGGGGAAGGTCGATCGCGGGCCCGCATGGCAGGTCCGCGGAGGTGCTGATAGGTCCTGCCACCTCGCCTTATTCTAAGTTATTTTTTATTTTTATTTTTTTTATTACCCCATTCGGGTCCGAGCCAGGTGCCAGCTGGTAGCGTCAGAACCAGGCCCCTCCGATAGGCCAATCACGATGCCTCTCCTCAGGTCCCCTCCCCCTATGAGCAGCGGGGAGGCTGATACACTGAGGGAACGGCGGACCAACTGAGTCGGCTGCTGTCTGACCAGTACAAGAGATGAGTGGAGCCATTGAGAAGACCGCTGTCAGATGCGGTCGGGTTGGGAAGGGCAGCGGCAAACTGGACCAGCGGAGTCCACTGCGGGCGTAGGTGCGATTGGGAAGTAGGGAAGAAAAGGCTGAGGGCAGGGAATGCACCAGGGCGCGATCGACGACCAGGTCCACTCGCAAGTCGAGACGGAGAAGGGGGCGCGCAGCGGTACTATAGTGACCAGTCGGCCTGTCGGGTTACTACGATGGATGGAGCCGGCTGTTACCAGGCGCTGCGCTAGTCTCTAAGGGAGGAGACATCGAAAGCGGACGACAGGGAGGTGAGGCAGAGGGCGCAGTGGGGAAAGAACGGGTTCTGGCGCCATCTGATGAAGTGCGATCGGGGTAGGAGATGGAGAGGAAGGAACTAGAGGAAGGGGACACAGTGGAACAGGCAGGGAAGAAGGGCAAAGGCAGCCAGTGACGAGCGGTAGGACCGCTAGCAAGCGAAGGAGAGGCTGACCAGGAACAGGCGCAAAGGAGGAGAACAGACAGAAAGGGAAAAGGGATGAACCTAGGCGCAATATCGCACCGGGTGCATTCTACGAAGAGATGGCGGGAGTGAACAGGGGGGGGGGGAGTAAGAAGACGCTTATCTCCCTCATTGTTGACCGGATTTGGGCAGGGGAAGACGCGATTCCGGCGTTGTTGGACAAGGCGATTCTAGTGGTGTAGTTAGTTTTAGGACTAGTTGAATAGAATTGGAGATAGCTGAGAACGGAGCTGCGCGGGGTTATGGCGGACAGCGGAATGGTAAGTGAGAAGAGGGATCACTCGCCCGTTTCTTGACGAAAACGGGCTGGGAAAGATGGGGTTCTGAGGTTTGTTGACAGGGCGAGCTAGATTATGAAGTAGGATTTAGCTATGAATTAGTGGAAGTCGAGATAGTAGAGGAGTAGTGTGCGCGGAAGGAGTCGAGAGCGCGACTATGGTAGAAGGGAAACTGTCGTACCTTACCTTGTTCACTGTAGAATCAGGCGGGGTGAGGTACTATCTTGAGGTTTAGAAGTAGGGCGTACCGGGAGGCGAAGTTAGATTGATATGAGGTTGAGTGTGTAGGGGATGGTAAGACTAGAGGGTAGTGGGAAAGGTGGTGTGCGGAGGCACGTACCTGACCGGCTTCCCGTAGGAGATTCGTTCCCCTCCTGCACAGTCGGCGAGTAGCAGAGCAAGGCTGTTTTCCACCTAAGTGTGCAGTGGCCTGATGTTGTCTCTGCTATGCCACCGTAATCTTCAATCGAGCCATTGCTATCGGCTCTTCTTCTCTTATTCTGGTACTCCTTGCTGCCTAAGGTGAACTCGCTGGCTCTATCTGAGTATGACTATATGTCATGCCCGGGGGTCGTTTGCTACCGGTTGGACCCAATCGTAAGGATGGCTAGGTGTTGACTGCAGAGAGAGAAAAAGGAGACAAGGGAGAGAGAAGGAAAGTTTGAGGTGGTGACATAGGCGCGTACCTGGTCTCAGCGGTGAATTGCAAGGTCGACAAGGTGTTGTCAGTTCATAGGCTGCTAGCAGCGTTGTAGCAGTAAATGGTCGGCGCGCACCGAGGAAGAGAAAGGAGGCGAGACACTCGCCTGGTCGTTACAGTAACCTGCGTAGTCGGCATCTGTGAGCTGCTGGAGCTATAGACCAGCCACAGGACATAGTGACTTACCTGCGGAACGTGAACCAACACCAGAGTTGTTGCTTAGAGTGCACGTCAGTCGGACGTAGTGGGGGATAGAGCTTTTTCTAGACTCTATGGGTGGTGGTGCTCGACTGTTCTTACATCTGCAAGCGTGAGCAGGTTAGAGAGCTCCTTTGCAGTCGAAATTCTATGAAGTACTGAAGAACACAGGTTTTTGCTCAGGGGACGATCGGGCTGTGCAGACTGCTGTTCTACAGGCTATTCGGTGTTGCTGTTTCTGAGGAGTTGGATGTTGGTATTACAGCCCAACCCCCGTTGGTAATACCGTTTCCTCATTGATTGAAGTGTCATAGGGGATCACTGTGTTTAGTAGAAAGACCATGGGACAGGACTGTTCGAAAATTAACCAACAGACGCTGCGAATGGTCGGAGCCTAGGAAAGGCCAGGCGCAGAAGTGGCAGACTTACTAGCCGGTTAGGACACCGGTCATCTTACTGGACGGAAAGGGCAGCTAGAGGGAGAGCCACGAGGTTGCGGGCTCACTTTTGGTCAGCGCCCCTGGGATCTTGAGCGCAGCAGAGTAACTTCGACTATTGAGGAGGGAGTACCGCTTGCCTCGTTGAGTACAGTGCAGTGGGGGTCAAGTGAGATGCGAGCTGCTGCGGCAGCTGTTGACTGTGCACGAACTGCGGCTACGGACTGTGCACAGACTACTACTGCGGGCTGCTGTTGGCTGTGTACAAACTGCTGCTGCGTACTGTGCACAAGCTGCTGCTGCTGTTGCGGACTGGGCACAGACTGCTTCTGTTGACTATGTGCGAACTGTCGCAAACTGTTGTTGGATGCTGCTAAATGGCACAGTCTGCTGTGTAGCGACGGAGGGGCTAAGGAGAGGGGCCAAAACTCAGAGGGATGGATAGACTGTGAAGGGGGGGGGGGTCGTTGTGGCGATCTGAAAAGGGCATCAGGGAGTTGGCTTCAACAGTTTGACTTCGGATTTTGATCAGGCTGCTGCATATTTGGCTGCCATTGCGGGGCCCTCAGGCGCATCAAGGAACCAAGGCCCTCTCTCGCGAGTCTGAGTGCACCCTCCCTGGATCTGAGAGTCTCAAATCTATCTCTTTCTGCCCTTCTCACTCTAAGTCTAGTCTGTTGGTTATGAGAGGAAGGCGGCAGGCGGGATTGCAACCCGTAGGACCGCGTCAAGACTCTGTGGGGAGTCCACCCACCGATTGCGG